TTTACATCTGACAACTAGTCATATAACAGAGTTGTTTGAATGAAATTAAAATCAGCATCATTGATGTCAGAATCATTTTTTTTAGCCACTGCATGTTTTTTATACTTCAGTTCAACAAATGTTTTTCTTCAGTATCACTGCATAATTGCTGCACAAGACGTCAGTCATGTTTGGCTCCAGTTATCGGTCAGCTGCAGTCCATGCTACAGTTTTAGACGATAGCGGCTGCAGCAGGCTTTGAAACTCTGGGAGTACTTCAAATGAATAAAAAGGTGTTTCTACACTGTGCAGACTTTCATTAGCATCTGGCAGCAGCCAGTGCACGAGCACATGAAGAGAAAACACACAAGCACTATTTGGCGAGAAGGCGTTGGACATCTACTGGCTTCTCTCCTACTCCCTGTGCTCATGATGTGATGCTGTGATGTCACTTCCACATCGTTGCTCTGCACTGTGAGTGTATGCTTTTATCGCTGCGACGTTGTCTGATAAATTCATCGACACATGAGTTAAAGACGACACCTGCACTGTGAGTTCAGTTGCATTTTCCAAGAATTCTAAGCCACCAACAACATCAGAACACAATTATACAGAAAGCAGTTCCTGTAGTGTCTTTAGCTGCTGTGTGCCTGTAAAATATCAACCTGAACGTTTTGGTTTTACTTGGATGTCAGCAATTAAATCCAGAATGAAGGACTGAAAAAGTGACCACATGTTGATACCTTCAGAAAGACCAAATTACTCAGCAGGCTCATTTACAGAAGAACTCTCTTGGACTTGTGTCCACGTGGTCACTCAGGTTGGGCGATTCTGTGCTATAATTTGACCCGTGTTCCTTGTTCATTAACAAAACCAAAAACCAACTCATGTAAGGATGAAAAAAAAATCACTGAGGACATGTTAATGAAACGTGATGCTTCAGAGTGCACACAGAAGCACTTGGATGAAAACAGCAGGGATTGAAAAAACTGCACAGCATGCAGATAAAACACTGAGCCTGATACGTCACAGGAAAAGAACAACTACCACTGCCATTCAGTCCTTGTTCTCTTTTTTCTCACCATTTCAGTCCATCGCTCCCTAAATTGGCAGGCAGACATTAACCCGCCCAGACACCTCCTCCCTCCCTGTGTTCTTAGAGGTGTGTCCTGTCAGTGTGTCAGACCAACAGTGTGTGTAGCCATCAGTCATTCTGTCTCTGGGTGCTCCTCACACATACTGTTGTTCTTCTCTGTTTTGTATTACCATTTGAAACTTTGAAGCAGTAACCTTATCAATGAGCACTGAATATTAACAGTTGTCATAAATCTTTCTGGTCACTGTTAGCTCAGATACTGACCAGTGTCACACAGGAGCACAAGACTGTCCCTGATAAAATCACCATCCTACAGCTTTATGTTATCAGTGTGATCTCTTTGGTGCATGAGCACATTGCAATAACAAATGAAAAATCTTCTGGGGACCTTATCTTGTAAAAATGAGAAAATGTCTGATAACGAGGAGCTAATAAAAACAACATACATCCTTTCAGAATTACATTATCATAACAAAGAAATTAGACACAACAATTTAAAAATATATATTAAAGAAAACCCAAACTCTGAATAAACTGTTTGGGTTCAGTCATCATTATGGGGAACAGTCTGGTTTCAGATGGATAATAAATGAATGGAAAGCCAATCAAAATTCTGAAAGATCAAATGAATCCTAATTCAGAGTTCTATCGGCTTCAACTCTGGTAATAAGACAGCTGCAGTTAAGTGTTGTCTCCTTGTTTGTAGTCACAGGCTGCCTTCTTTTAGCCACAACCACCAGCGCTGTGTTGTGGGCTGCAGCAGCTCCCTGGATGTGGCGTTACATCAGGTTGTGTTGGTCTTTCAGCAAGCAGGAGTCAGCAGACAAACAGCTGATGTCTGTCCTCAGTCTGGTGTGAAAGCTGATGTATTGCATATCCTTATCAAGGAGAAGAATGAGCCTTTTGATATGTAAAGGTCTCAGGAAATAAAGCAGCAAATCTCAGATTAAAACTCTCCAAAGAGTGACATTTTGAAGTTTCCTCTGCTTCACTCTCTCAGTGCATCATCCCATCACATCTGCTACTTTGGGTTCTACTAAATATATCCATACTTCATATAATTAAAGTTTTTTTTTTCAATGTGAAAAAAAATACAAATAAACCTCTTATGTTGAAATTTAGGCTCACATTACAAGAGATCATTACCTGTAACTATGATATCATTTCAGATCTTTAATCATGAGATCTTTTCTTGTAATGTAGAGATAGTATGTCATTATGAAAAAACATCTCCAAAATGTTTTTTCCTTTGAAAATACACAGCGTGTCTGTGCTTAAAATACTGAAATGTCCTGGACCTTTGTCACCACTGCAACAGAATAAGTCAGGATCTTAGTTTTAGTGATTTCACTGTGCGGCTTGTTAACTCTGTGAACAGAACACTGCATTTTAACCTAGAATTCAGCAGTGAGATGATTTATGCGGCCGATTGTAAAATGAGTTTTCCAATTCATTTGACACCAATATTAGAGTTTCGGAGTATTCCATTAAGCTTGACAGTGG